TACCCAAGAATCAGATAATGAAGAGTGGTGGTGCTTCTTTCAGGAGAATTTGTAAATTTGAGGTGACAAGCAGCTATAGAGGGAGGCTGACCTGTTTCTGTGGTAATTCAGCAGCTAAATCCCTATTCTGCTGTGATTTATAGTGATGGACTTTCATTGGTTGTGTCACAAACACCCGGTGATCTGGGCTTATCGCTGAAACAAACTACTGGCTAGTTACCACATTTGCACACATACTGTAATAAAGCACTAACACAAAAGGGTGATTTGCAGGTTAAAAAGTCCCAAACCACAGCTCTAATTTCCATGACCTTTGCCTGTGCATTTAGAATCCGTCAAGGAAGGATCGAGTCTGATTTGTTCGGGCCCTATTAGCGCAGGTTTAGAAAATTGGTATAACCAAGAGGTATTTTAGTTCTAGCCTGTAGGTCTGGTTCAGGGCCTAATTCAGTGACTGACCTTGTATTAATTCCTTGTGTTCAGAAAAGGAAAGAAAAGAAAAGAAATATCTATTTCATTAGTCTAAGCATATGCATATTTAAAACAGCCTGAAAAGTTGCTGGTTCCCTCCACAGAATAGCAACTTTTTGAGAATGGGTTTAGAATGTATAATGTCTCATGCCAGGGGAAAAGAGTCAACAATGTAACATAATTACCAATTTATCATTACTTAAAGTTTGCAGGAGACAAAGAGATAAGTAGTATAGGTTTTTCCCCCCTTTACTGGCTTTAGAGATACTAGGTGCAGAAGTGTTTCTGAGAATGTAAAAGCACTTATAAATGTCAGTCTTAGTGATTACTGTCATTGTTAGTAATCAGTACTGATGGCTAGAATGGCTTAAATATGCCATTTGCCTTATAACCAAGGTAGTTGCGAATGAACCTGATTCTTATGGAAATATATCACATGCAATCAGATTCACATTGCTCATTGGGGGGTTAGATGTGATAAATTGCTATCTGCCATATTATCACAAGAGATGACCCTGAAAGTCCATTGAGATTTGTGACAGCATTAGCTGTGTGACCTTCTCAAAGTCACCACCATCTCTGGGTTTTACTTTCTCTATGAGATAATGGTGTATTTGTCAGTTGTCAGGTTAACTGGGGATAGGATGCAATAAAGAAGTAAAATTCTCAAGCCATTTTACTAATGCAGTTAAACCTCATTGATTTGGACTAACAGAGGGGAAGTGTTGTCTAAATGAAAGAGTCCTGAGTTACAAAATCCGTTTGAAGAAAGAGGGTTTTATTACTTTAAGTCTATTTTGTAATTCAAACTCACTATAAAACATTGCCTTAGTGGAGGTTTTTGGGAGCACTTCTTTAGCAGATACATTTGTAATATTATTCTATCTAATAAATGCTTCCAACATTTGTAGAAGGTTTGTTCTCTTAAGGAAAAATTCAATTGACAATCTAGTCCAAACCCTTCATTTGCTTAACAAACCTCTCTTGGCTGCATCCCTGATAATATAAAGTTAGATTGTAGAATGGTCCCTGTCCAGTTTATGACAGATTATAAATTAGAGGGCTCCAAATTAATGAGGTTTCACTGCCTTTTCTACCTTCTTCTCCGTCGATTTGTTTTTGCCATCACCACTAAATAGTGGTAAAACAGAATCAAGTTCATCTCTTGCCCCTTCTCTCGCTCAATCTCAGAAAACAGCACGTAGCAAGAAGGAAGAAGATAAAGGCAAGCTCCTTGATAATCCAGAAATGGAATAAGCAATCATTGGATATGCAGCACTGATCATACTATTATTCATAGTTGAGAAAACAGTTGACTTATTTCAAAAAGTTGGCTGCTGAAATGACTGGAAAAAGTGATTTGAAGGATACCTGGAAGGTAGCACTATGGTCAAAGAAGTTGAAAACACTTAAGATCTACTGAAATGTTTTTCTATTTATATATCAAAAATCATAATATCTGGAAATCGTGGGTTGGTGATTAAGTTACTTGATAACTGCAGTGGTATCAGCTGAGAAAAAAAAAAGTTGCTCGCTGGTTGTAATTAGTAAATAGCTGGTCTAAAGTTTTATGGGTCTTCATGATACCAAAACATCTGGGTAAAATGTGAAAATTCAGCCAAATGTGTGGAGACTTTTTTTTAATGTAACATCAAACATTTGGTTATTTGAAAACTTCTGGGCACTTGGCATCATGTGGATGTTTTAGAGTCATCTTGATACAGTCCACAGCTCCTTTTTAACCATGCTGAATATGAATGATGAATTCCTCGGAGCAGTGTGTGCAATCCAGCTCAATTTTCATTCCAGAACTCTCACTTCAGTGATACAATTAGGTTCTCCTTGGCCTGCTATTTACACAAGAAAAGACCAGGAAGAAGGTGCTTAATACTCTAGGCATCAGGCTAGCCGTTCCAAAACTCAAATGGGTCAAAAGCTTGGCTAAACGGACAATGTCATTAGTTTACATAAATGAGAAAGGAAGCTACTGCTTTTTGACACATAGTAAAACCTTGATTAATTGGAATCCATAAAGGATGAATGGAATTTTCAATAAGAGTACTCATTTTGTTTCATTCTTGGCTAATAACGTTCTTTTTCCTCAAAATGCTTGTATCCACTTTCTTTCCTCAGGGAAGCAGCCTCATGTTTGAGGGGCAATCCAGATGGAGAGAAGATATAGGAGTGAGCTGAATGTAATCTAATCACATGTTATCTCTTGGCAAGTGATTTAAAAAAAATCAGTTCCTCGCAGTCTTCTCTTTTAGTACTATTGTTGCTTTCTCATCAATGTGGAGTACTGAGGGAGCACTAAATTCAGCTAATTGGGGTGCTGGTTATATGAGTTCTGATTAATCAAGGTTTCACAATAGAAGATCTCACCAATGCCTGGTAAGATTCTGTGCTGAAGAAAGTTATTCTTTTTTTTGTTTTTTTAAAACCTTATTTATTTATTTTTAGAGAGAGGGGAAGGGAGGGAGAAAGAGAGGGAGAGAAACATCGATGTGTGGTTGCCTCTTACGTGCCCCCAACTGGGAATCTGGCCTGCAACCCAGGCATCTGCCCTGATGTATAACCGACGACCCTTTGGCTTGCAGGCTGGTGCTCAATCCACTGAGCCATACCAGCTAGGGCTGAAGAAAGTTATTCTGAAATTTATGTCTTTGGAAGCGATCTGTATTAGTGTTTCTAAACCCATATTATACTGTATTCTGGCAAACTAACTTTTCTGTCAGGATCCTGAGGAATAGAGAGGGAAAGAGAAGAGCAGAAATGTAACCATTGTCTCTGAAGGAGAAAAGTTTTGGCTTGCCTGTCTTTTGGCCTGTGGTTGGGAAACACTGTTCTTCACCTTAAGATGCCCATGGATTCCGGGTTGTACAAGAGCCGATATTACATGCTTCAATATAATTCTGTTGCCCTTTGGGCCATGGAGGATTCTGTTTTCAGGTCCTCTCCTGTACTTACCCAATGTGTTCTTCTATCATTTGGTATCATGGCTTCTGAGCTTGTCTCCATTTCTTGTTGCTTGGAGGAAGGCTATTCATTCTTACTAGCCCCAAAGAGCATTAAGGAGCCAAAGGAATGCCAGGTAAGACGGGTTTTCTGATGATGGCCACCTGGATAACAATTTGACCTACCTGAACCAAGAACATGGCTAAGGAAGCCAAATCAGGAATTCATATACACAGAGTATCACAGTTAGGCGACGCAATTGTTTAAATATACAAAATGTATTTGCAAAGTCTATATATGAAGTGGCCTATTGAAGAAAGACCCCATTTAACTTGAAACCGAGCTTGTACTTTGGCTTTCAAGTTAAATGGGGCCAGCTTAAATAGGCCATCACATATGGAGAACAACATCTCATCAATCAAACACTTAATTGAAGAAGCCAGCTCTAATAACCAACCAACCTCTGTGAGCAACATCATGCCTTCGAGGGAAAAGAAAAGGCTGTAACCTGAACTTTTTAATATATGCATTTGATTTCTCACACTGCTCAGCTAAGGCAGTCGGGGGTAGTCTTAAGGAAAGCCTTGGACTCTCCAAAGGCTAGGGCAGTGAAATTCACACCATGGCCTTCATAAGGCAACCGGTTTGGTGTGTGAGGAAAGTGAAGGGCTACGCGGATAGGGAGCCTCTGTCTGGGAGTTTAAGAAGGGACCCAAGTTAGATCAAAAATGCGGGCAGTGCCCTGAAGTCTTTCCGGTTCCCAAAGCTGCCAGGCAGGGGAATAACCTGGTCATTCCACTTTATGTGTGAGTGTTGTGCTCTCTCCTCAATAATAAGATAACAGTCTTGCCGATTACTCGTCACTAAGGGTACCCGGTTGTGGTGACATTGAGGCTGACCTTGGAGTCACCGCCCCCGCTGCCGCACTCTCCTTTGTCGTACCACCATTTGTTTTTCAATTTGTCCAAGAGGCCTTGCTCATTCAGTTTTAATACTGCCAGGTTAACAGCATTTCTTGAAACGATAAAACATAACTTGTAAGAAAATGCACAAATGCTTAGGAAATCGTTAACGTATAAAAAGGAGCACAAGAGGACAAATTGGCTAAATTTCACAGAACGTGGAGCTATAAAAATGTCTGTACAGCAAATACAGGGTTAAATATTGGAAGGTGGCATGGAGGATAACATTTGCTCAAAACTGAAGTGTGCGGGATGGGGAAATTGTCTTTGAGAAAAAAAGTAACAAGAACACCACATCCATGCAATTAACATTCGTCACATATGGCACCATAACTTGGCTTTTACCATTTAAATTGAAAAAGCCGTTGAACTGTAAAATTAAAACAGCAACAAACAGTCAGAGAGGACAACACAGAGAGAGAACATTAAAAAAAATGGATGCATTAATAGGTGAAACCATAATTTACCGTCTTATTTAACTCCATGGAATATTGTAGATTTTAAACTTTTAAAAGTTACCTCAAAATCCACAAGAAAGAAAATGACAACAAAATGCATCAGGGTAGGTGGAATACTATAACAACACGGATATTGTTATATTATTCCACCCACCTTAATGCTGAGCCTTTAGGGGTTGCCACACCATAGCCTTTCGAATCCAGATTTCCACCAACTTTCATCGTATCACATGGTTTTCTCTGCTCAATGTACTCATTCATGGTTGACTCCAGCAGGAAGGCAAACTTCCCCTTGGACTTCCGCACTCGGGCCACGCCGTCTGCTGTTGTTTTGGTAAACACAGATGGCTCTGCTGATTTCATGTAAGACCACATTTTCTCATAGACAGCAATTTTGGACCTCTGCAACACAGAAAAAACTTCTTAGGAGCTACCAGATATTAAAACTGGAAGAGGCCCCAGTGCACTGGTTTTCAAACATTTTTTATTGCAGTCCACAATAAGAAAAGCATGTTATACTGCAACCCCATAAGCATATTCATATACATGTAAACATGCTTCCAAAATAGATTTCTCAAAACCACAGTCATCCTTTCCTTGTGTGATGTTCTCTGATATTTTCTATTCTATTCTTTTTTTAAAAATATGTATTTTATTGATTATACTATTACAGTTGTCCCATTTTTCCTCCTTTGCCCCTCTCTGCCCAGTACCCTCCCTCCCTCTATCATACCCCGCCCTACCTCAGTTCACGTCCGTGGGTCATGCATGTAAGTTCTTTGGCTTCTCCATTTCCTATACTGTCCTTAACACCCCCATTGTCTATTTTGTACCTACCAATTATGCTTCTTGATCCCTGCACCTTTTCCCCCATTCTCCTCCTTCCCCCTCCCAGTTGTTAACCCTCCATATGATCTCCATATCTATGATCCTATTCCTGTTCTAGTTGTTTGCTTAGCGTGTGTTTTTAGATTTAGTTGTTGAGAGTTGTAAATTTGTTGCCATTTTAATGTTCATAGTTTTGATCTTCTTTTTCTTAAGTCCCTTTAACATTTCATGTAATAATGGCTTGGTGATGATGATCTATTCTAATTTACTCAAAAATGCTGATCAGGACCCACTAAATTGATTTCATGGCTCCACTAATGGGTTGCAATTTACTTTGAAAAACACTTTCTTAGTTCAATCTTTGTGTCAGTGCAGAAATCTTCCCTACAATATTCTGCTATGTGATTATTCTTTAGCTGCCTGAGGGGAAAACAAAAAGGCCACTGGAGGGAGTTGACAACCATTATAGTCAGCCTACTCCATCCAGCATGGGACAATAATTATTGTAAGAAAGCACTTCATTATTCTGAACTGAAATTTGATTCTCTGTAATGCTCACCCTTTATTATTACCTGCTAGAGCTATGCAAAGCAGTTCTGTTCCTTCTTCTATATAATGGTCCTTCAAGTATTCCAAGGCTGTTATTATGCCCCCTCCTCATCTCTTTATCAGGCTAGCTCTATCTATATCTAATACTATTTCCAGAACCTTCACAATTTTGGTCTCTTCCATAGGTACATTCTAACGAGCAGTGTTTCTTATATTGAAGTTTCTAGAAATAAACATGACACTCCAGATATATAATAGAGACAGAATGAAAATGAAAACTGCTTTTTGTCACTGGAGCATTATTTTCTATCAATGCTGCTTGAGTTTACGTGAACATATTTAGTCTTTAATCTGTCCTTTCAACAGTTTTAAAGCACTGTACTGGAGGTATAAAGAATGTAATAGAGTGAATAGTGTCCCTTTGTCAACTCAGGATGAGGCTAAACCAAAACTGTTGGTTCTTTCTACCAAGTCAAGTTTCCCTCATCTTTGCCCTTTTGAATTTTGAATTTAATTCCATTAAATTCCATCCCTATTCAGGTGGTCCTTAGAACATGTTCTAAAGGCTTATAGCTCTATATTAGATATTCTGGAGAATATAAAGGAAGCATGGTTTCAATGACTCCATGACTTCCAATTCATTTGGGAGATAGGTCCTGAGGAGTGAAAACCCTAGAGAAATTTTAAAGTAATATTTGACCAGAGGTGAGATAGCATGGTATGAATTATAAACATATACCATATTTTCTTTCTTTCTTTTAAGATTTTATTTATTTATTTTTAGAGGGAGAGGGGAAAGGAAGGAGAAAGAGAGGGAGAGATACATCGATCTATTGAGTCTTGTACATCCCCAACTGGAGACCTGGCCTGCAACCCAGGCATGTGCCCTGACTGGGAATTGAACTGGTGACCTTTAGGTTCATAGGCTGGCATTGAATCTACTGAGCCACACCAGCCAGGGCCATATGACATATTTTCAAGTGTCCTTTTATGGGGTTTCCTGGCCCTCACTTTGCTTTTTTGATTGTTTATTTAGTTGCTTTTCTCTGGAATTTGCTGGAGTTTGGCCAGAAGTATTGTTTGTTTGTTTGTTGGTTTGGTTTTTAGATACTTGCTTAGACCTGCCCAAATAATTCCAGAGGGCTGGACCTCTCAGAGCTATCACCATGGAAACTACACATTGTGTTTATGACAACCAGATCCTCACTGAGTCCCTCACTGAGTCACTGAAATGGTTCACTGAGATGGGAACAAGAAAAAAAGCCAATATGCCAGTAGCCAAATGGGCAAAAAAAAGTTGGGTAAGAAATGACCTTAGGAGAGTAATCAGAGGCTGGATCTTGTAGAGCCCTGTAGGTCACGGTAAAAAGTTTGGATTTATTCTATGTATGATAAGAAACTATTGGAGGATTTTGAGGCAGGATGTGATAAGATCTGAATTAAAACTTTAAAGCATTATTCTAGCTGCCATATGGAGAACCAAATAAGGTGGGCCAGAGTGTAAACAAGGAGGCTGGTTAGGTAACTCTTCTAATTGTCCAGGGGAGAGATGGTTGTGGCATGAACTAGGCAGGGAGAAATGGAGTTGGAGGGAAGAGGTTGAATTCAAGATATGTTTAGGGAGAAAGTAAACAAGTCTTGCCGATAAACATTTTCACCTGATGGTCCCATACACACTTTCAGATTAAACATTTCTAAACATTTGTAAAGCCTGGCTCTCCTCCTAAATTCTATCAGTAAAGCACCTCACATCGAAGCTACAAAGTTTGGTTTTTACTTGTTATGCCATGTTTATTCTACTACAAAAATACCTGTAGGATCTGTCGTTTTATTACCATTCCATTACCGTTCTCATTACCATTGTCCTAACTGATCTACTGGTTTCATTTCTCCAATTTACCTTCCGGTGATCCTTCCAAGTGTAAATCTGATAAGCTACTTTATTGTTTAAAATTCTCTGATAGTTCCCTAATACCTGCAGGACAAAATCCAACTTCTTTTGTATGAGTCTCTTTGATCTTGGCTACATTCTTCTATGATCCATTCATACTGGACTACTCTTCAGTGTTCACTGAAATATGCTACAAACTTTCACATCTTGTACCTTTGGTTATGATTTTGTTTTTGCCTGATGTATCCCTATTTATCCTACAAGATCTAGAGCAAATAATCATGTCTTCTGTGAAATCTTTTCTGGCACTCTTCTGCCCCTACATATGTGCTTTCTTGGTTGTCCTTCAAAAGCATTTTGCTTATACCTTTGCTATAAAGCTTATTATATTGCATTAAGATGAGTTGGCTATGTGTCTGTCTTCCCCACATTACTTCTTCAGCACAAAGTCCATGCCTGATTCATTTTGGTAGCCCTCTTGGCAGCCAGCACAATGCTTGATTTATGGCAGGCACTCAGGATATATTTGCTTAATAACTGAAGCTTAGGCCTGTTGAGGTGATAACTAGATTGTCGGTCAAAGATATCAGAAGGTTGGTGAAAAATGGCTACCAGCACTAGTTTTATAGCACTGTAAAACTGTAGAGCTAAAGTTACTTTAAAGATCATTGGGCCCCAAGTGTCCATTAATAGATGAGTGGATAAAACAAATATAGGCTATTTATACAATGGAATTTACTTGGCCGTGAAAAAGAAGAAAATTTTACCCTTTTCAACAGTATGGATGGACCTGGAGAACATTATGCTAAGTGCAATAAGCCAGTCAGAGAAAGACAAACACCATATGATTTCACTCATAGGTGGAATCTAATGAAGAAACTGAACAAACAAGGAAATTAGAGACAGATTCATAGATGGAGAGCAGATGACAGCTGTGGGGGTGATTAGGGGGTGGAGGGAGTGAGCAAAAAGGAAAAGGGACTCTGGACATGGACAATAATGTGGTGATTGCTGTGGGGAGGAGGGTGTAGGGGACTAAATGTAATGGAAAAAATACAATAGAGATTAAATTTAAAAAATAAATATCATTGGGCCTAATTGCCAGCTAAATCAATCAGGACATATGCTTTATAATTTTTTTTGCCACTTATGCTCCTCTGATATCCACACCAATAAATTTTTCCCTAATAATCAAGGCTTCTAAGGTCAAAATCTCATCTATTGACATTTATGGTCATTTCAAGTCACGTTATCCTCATCTGACACAGAAAACAATTTCTAAACTTCACAATGAAATATATTTTCAATGACTTTATTTCATCCAGAATTTCCTAGTCAGTTGCTCAAGGAATTAAAAAAAATAGTAAATAATTCATATGCACAGTAAGATACGAAAATGTTAAGAACATTTGTGTACCTGTCACAAAACTTAAAAAATAAAACATTATGAAGTTAGTTGAAATCTGCGTATGTATCCCTCCCTAATTGCATACTTCTTCCTCCAGGCCAAAGGTATTCACTATACTGAATTTGGTCTTTATCATTCCTTTGCATACATTTATACTTTTATGAGAATAAACTTATCTCCTTTGTAATGGCTGCATAGCATTTCACTTGATGGATAGACCATAATTTATTTTCCTAATTCCCTAGTGAAGGACTCTTAGGTAAGTTTCATTTTTTTTTGTCATTATAGACTACACTATGGTGTGGATATGTCTTTATGCCCATACAAAGAGGCATTTTGTATTCTTCATCTTGGCCCAATCAAACCTGAGTGACAAGGGGAGGGAGTTAGAGCAATTTGTCTCTTATACTATTTACAAACAGGCCATTGCTTCCAAAGATAATTTATAAGCCAAGGGCAAATGTGTCCATGAATTCTGATCCAAGTATACTGTAATTTGGACTCATTTACTTCATCATTTACTTGAGCTCTTTGATTGCTGATACAGATTAACGAGTTTATTCTTTCAGGTAATGATGCATTTCTAGGAGAATAAATGGCAGTGCTTGAAGTGTGCACTTTAAATGTATTTGGTGTACATGCAGCAGATATTAATGAATGCAGTAAATGCAAAGTTAGTTAGTGGCAGAGATGATTGGGCCCTGGTTGATGACTGAATTCTGAAGG